GCGCATGTATGCATGCGTGTGTATCGAAAGAGAGCATACGATGATCCTTCTTGACTCCTGGAAGGGCAACCCGGAAAAGGTAAGCATCCTTGCAAGACCCAATGTCAACCAGTCCAACTAGGGGCCCCAAACGTGCATCTCTTGCAGTCCCCGTGAAATGGATTGAAGGTTTCGGGTTCCATTGCTCCACCCTATTAGCTGAAGCAAGAACCACCATAGCTGGTGCATTGTAATCAGGAGCTTTAACTGTTTCTTGAGGAGGAACATGAGCCAGCGGAGTTATAATATTTTTTCCCTCACCGAAATATTCACCGGAGTCCTGATGTATTTCTCTTATACGCCTCCTCTTACGAGAATTTCGACGCTTGGCTGCTTCGGCTGCATTACCATTAGGAACATCTCCCATTGAGTCCATTTCCAAATGGAAATCATCCATGGGATCATCTTTATCAGTCCTATAACCATGCCGATATAGTTGAGCTTCATTTCGATCGATTTTCAAATCATCCAACCCACTGAGGATCTTGAATCTATCCAGATCAGCTGGCCTGATATAAGAAGTATCAGGATCATCGATGATCACTATGCCCTTGAAGATTTTGAAGCTCCCTTTGTATCTCCCTTGCCCATGGAGAGTTGAAGGAAAGAAGCTTGTGAACTGGCGCTCATCATCTGGGGCATCTGAGGCAGGTGGTGCCAACTGACCTTTGAAATATTTGTATAGAGAGTTAAGCTTTAATACAGCACTTGGGTGGGTATTCCTTAGAATATAGTAATAGAGGCTCTCGACATCTGAGAGTTTAAGGAAAGAGTTTCCAAGATCAGTGAAATAGTATGGGGGGCGACCCTCAGCTATTCGTTGAGAGGCTGATCGCCTAGGACTATCAGACTTAACATCAGGGCCTAAGTAAGTTCCAATTATGAAGTTTAGCAAGAACCTCTGGTCGTTGTGGGTTGCCTCGAGCAAAGATTTAGAGTAGTTATCAGGCATATCCATGGATAATTCAGCACTAATGCATTCTGCCACCTTGCTGGTTTAGGTTTTTGAGTTTAAAAGCATCCAACATCTTGTTGTATTATCCTTATTCAGACCTAAAAGTCGAAGTGTGCTACACATTTGAGCCAGTTCTAAATACTTAATAGAAATCTTTGCTTACAAGACTCGTTCTTTCACTTGTTTAGGGCATGCTTTACGTTACAAAGAGAGCCAACATGATCAGCCTCAACCACTTTGATCTGCAACAAAACGAGAATATGAATAGGGCCTTGCATGCAAAAATTAAAAGAAAAAGAATCATTTAAAATCCATCATTGAGAGTCAAGAGCACTCTACAGTTCACACTACGGTTGGCAAGTACTACAGCTGCCTGTTTATTGAAATTCTCATAGAGCACTGAGGTAACGTAATAGTCTAATTAAAAAAATTAAAATAATGAAAATGTCAAACATAGGTATGATACATGTAAAGGCCTCATATTACCCAAGCACGTACAAATGAAAAATCATATCAAACAAACAAAACAAGAAACAGAAAACCATCACAATCACAACTAAGTAACTTTGTGCATGAATACAACTTCATGTTGACTTACATTAGGGTATAGATTGTCTGAAACAAAATGTGACAAATGAAGTTCAATATTGAAATGTACAAAGTGCGAGATCAACCCGAAAAAGGAACAATATGAAGTACAAAAGCTGTAGTTAATCAACCCAAAAATGCAAGATCCAGCAGAATTCCTAATAAATTAAAACTATTGAGTAATTAATATTCAGCAAATGAATCTCTGAGAAGGCAGCCCTAGAGCCACAAACCAGGTCTAGGTCAGATCATCATAAGGCACTATGAACTAAAGCACCCTTCAACTTGTGAAGTATTTTGGTAGTGGTGCACAAAACAAGTACAAAAACAGAGTATGAGAAGGATATCAAGCCTCATTTCGCTCATAGAGGCTGCATAATTATGCTAAAAATTTTGATAATAAAAATTTTGAACCTCTCTTATCATGATCATCATCAACATTATTATTATTTTCAGTCCTCTCATACATCTGGTACAACAATCATGTAGTCAGTTTTATATAACATGGCTAAGGAGGCTTTGTTGCTGCTTCGATGGTTGAGGATAATGAGCAACTCATGTAGCTGACACAAACATGTCAATGCAGAAGAGAACTTGTTTCGCACTTCCACTGCCTGTTACATTAGTTTAATCATGATCTTAAGCCTAGAAATATGAAGAATTGTGGCTTTGTAGAGTTTGTTAATGTTTATCAGATTCTCACGTTCAATGTTTACACTTCAAATTACACAAATTTTTGGCTAGATGATTAAGAAAAAATGTTTGCTACATGGAAGATTGTATGGATAATTTCAGAGCCGCAGAACAGAAGCTCATGCAAACTTATGGGCCTACCAGTAAAGATAGGAGACAAGAAAACCTTCCAGAAAGTAACAATATTATTTATTTCATACACTGTGACACATTTATTAATTATATTATAAATTTATAAGACATGATTTTGAGTTTTTTTTTTTTTTTTCAAGACTTTGGATAACTATTAAGTTTTTCTTTTTTTGAGAAATACCTATTAAGTATATTTACCATGGGATGATACCAAGACACATACAACGGATGGATTTGAACTATTTCTTAAAAATTTCACATTTACAATGGGATTGTATACAATGAGTCCATTTACTTTGATGCAAGGAGGTCACAATTACTTACAATCATCCAATGTGAAATTTGATATCTTGGGTGTGTCACATGGTTGGAGAAAATTTCTTTTGAGTTTAAACTGGGTCAATGGAATAAATGCAGCCATCTAATTTCACGTCCAGTTGGTCAAGATTAATTGTGACCACTATGGACCAATAATAAATGGTCTCATTGTATACTTTTTCTTTTATAATATACATCTTAAATGGTTACCATAAAATAAAGCTCATCTATCAGCTCGTTAACGATTTCTCACGAGTTAATTTCAAACTTTTCTTATATCTATCTATAATATCATGCCCATCATTATGAGATCATCAATATAGGCACAAACTATGATGCGCAATTCTTAGCTGCTGTTTTTAAAAAAAAATTGAAGCTTTTACAATGTCCCTCTGGTCTTAAACAAGTATTCTAAAAACCACTTAATGCTTTATGCATCAAGAATCATACATTAACCATGAATAGAAGGAAACCGATTAACCCACAACCTCAGAATCTCTACAAGCAAGAAGCCAAATTCATAAATTTTCATCTAAACTAATATAGGTATGCAAAATAATACTAAAAACACAAATATATTCTGACAATAAATTCTAGAAGGAAAGGAAAGTTCCTTTTCTGTTCATTAAAAATACATGAAAGAATTGCTGTATTGAGAGAGAGAGAGAGAAACATATCCTAATTTATGGAATCACAGTCACCTAAAAATAACTATACGAAAGAGAGATGGAGAGGAAATAGGCAAACAAACATTCTCACCTATGAAATTAAAGCTGCCAAGAACCCAAAAATTTGATCTTTTCCTCATGGAATTCATGCTTACCGGCTGTATTTAGAGATATAGAGAGAGAATGAGAGAAAACAAGCAAATCCCATTTCAATTCCCCAAATAAGCCGTCACCAAGAAGAAAAAAGAGCATAGAACTCTATATGCCTGTGTATGAGTGGTGGCTCAAAATATAGAGATAGAAAGCATAGAACTACAGTACTTCAAAATGCAAACCCTAGATTTTATCCCTTTTGTTGGAGAGAAGCTAAAATTTCAGGGTTTTCATAGGAGAGAGAAGAAGAAACAGTAGAGAGAAAAAGAACACCAAAAAATGCGACGAAGTAAATAAGAACTAAAAAATTACCATTTTTTTTTGCCAGAATCTGAAATTTTCGCCGGTAAAAGAATTTTCCGGTGGCGTCTGCCAGTGCTACGTGCGAAGCTCAAAATACCTTTTGCGGCCAAAGCAAGTCGACTCTCACACCACCTTTTTTTTTTTTATTATTACTTTAATGATAAAAAGGCTCAAATTTCCCGTATCCCGTACATATCCCTGTCATCGGGATACGGGAAAATTATCCCGAACATATCCCCCGTACATTTCACAACGTGTTTCCTCGCCTAATGCAGCGTACTCCCGCAGAAACACGTTGTGAACTGCAGGGTTTATTTGATAATTTTGATTGAAGTCAAATGTTCTCTTACGCCCGCGGAATACTACTATTCTTGTACTCCCTTGGATGACATTTGCAATTGTAATATCCCACATATCCCAAATTTCAGGATGTGATCTCTAGAAACTGACAACCAACATCAAAGAATAAAGCAAAAATTTAGCTCTCAATCTCTCTGTCTAAAAAGGATTCGGTTTCTATGCGGCCAAGCCTGCATAGGTAGAAGTACAGGCCTTTTGATAAATCTATTTTTGAGATGGATTTTAATACTTAATTTTTTTAAGGATATGTAATCTCTAACATGGAGATCATGAATATGAAAAAATAAATAAATTTTAAAAACTAAAACTAATCATTCTAATAAAAAAACATTTGGACTGTTAGTTTCCATTATTTTTAGATGGAACACCTACTTGCATTCATCTTAAAGATGGATGTTTTACACTTTCTGGACGGTATATGTAGAAATGCGGTCCAACCCGCATGAAACATTTCTATCTAAAATAGATGGCATCCCAAGATTGTATTGGAACCATCCAATTTTTAGAGGGAATGATCTAGATATTCAAGAGCTCAAAATCTAATTATTTTCTTTAAAAATAATCATGAACCTAAAATTTCAAGCCCAAAAAACAAAAATCTCCCAAGTAAGTGTTTTGCCTCAGGAAGAAAGTGTACAGTACGCTCCAAAGGGAGCATAGTATATTTAAAAAAAAAAAATTCCGAAATTTCAACTATAAAAATCTTTTGTTTTGCCAAAGAGAGTAACTGTTTAATATGCTATGGCGGTATCATATTATACTAGCCCTTGTTGAAACTTTAGGGAAAATAATTAGATTTCAAGTTCGTGGACATTTTACCTTTAGATATATCACTATTTAAATTCAAGGCGCGTATACTATAATCCTACACTTACCTTATTGAGTCAAAGAGGTAGTTAAAAGTATTTATTTTATTTAAATTGGGTGTGATTTCTATAAGTTGAGGCTCTAAACAATCAAAGAAAGGCGTATTTTTAACAAGTGTCGAAATTTTCAGCTGCAAAAACCTTTAATGTCCAACTTAAAATAGTGAAAATTGACGGCCAATATAATGCGTTACAAGATGCACTATTTTTTTTCCAGACTTGAGGTCCAGATGATTGATTTGAAGGTTTCTTGATATCGAAACAACCTCTTCTAGTTAATATTTGAAGTGTGCATTAATTTGATTATTTAAAGCGTCAACCTTATATTTTTTTTTTTCTTTAAAATTATGTGATCTACTAGAAGAAAAAAAAAACGAAATAGGATATTAATCATATCGTTTATGTCTAGTCCAAGGAGGTCACAACCAGTTGTGGTTGTCAGATTTTAAATAGGGTGGTTGGAAGCAGTGTTGGAAAAGCCAACTCGGGCCAACTACTCGACCAGTCAAGCAATCGCCAGAGTCCGAGCAACTCAGCCCAGCTCGAGCTTAGTATTGTAGCACCTGAAGATTATTAAAATATATATAAAAATACAAAAAATCAAAATAAAATAGGATAAAATGTATTTAAAATTAAATTTAACAAAACATAACTAATTGTGGTCCAATAACTTAGCAAAAAAATTCAGTTTGTGATGGGGGTATGTTTTGAAATTTCTTAAAAGGATAGCAAAAATGTAAAAATAAGTATTCATGGCCAAAATACTTTCCAATATTTGCCAAAGTGATAGAAAACAAGTTACACATATTTTTCTTTTTCTTTTTTTTATGATTTTTTATAATTTTTTGTTAATTTTCTTTAAGATCCCCAAGTTGGACTTGCAACTCAAGACAACAAGAACTCAACAAGGGCCGAGCCCGAGTAACTCTGCCCAGTAGAAACTACTCAGCCAATTCTCAGATGCTGGTTAGAAGCGTACTATTGACCAAGCTCAAATTTCAAAAGAATTTATTAAACTTGTTGGAATCGACATCTATTGATTAAGAGTGTGACTCAAACTTCCTTATGCTAAAAATCAATTGCGATACATATAGAGTACGATTTAAAAAAAAAATTCTTGTTAGGTTCTAGAGGTTATATCCCAAATTTTGGAATCCAAAATGCATTTGGAGCTCGAGTTTAACCCGAGGAAGCAAATGTACAAAATGCTCCCGTATGTGAGCAACAAATCTTTTCACATAAGATATACACCATCACATGCATTATAAAATGAATTAAAAATGGCTCTTATTCTTACATCATAAAATTTTTAAGTGCTACACCATTGGTAACTTTTTAAAATTCATATATATGTAAAATGTCGAGTGTAAATAATTTTGAAGTCTGACAGGTAATACCAATTTATTTATCAAAATGGCTCATCTTTCGTGATCATTTTACATATGTAATTTTAGAAATTCATTAGTACAAATAAACTTTTCATATATTTAAATGAAATTATATACATTGAGACCATTTACCTTTGATACAAGGTGGTCACAAATACTTACAACCATCCAATGTGAAATAAGGATGTGAATGTGTCACAAAATTCAATAAAATTTCTTGTGAAGTTGGAGATTGGTCAATGGAATAAATGCAGCCACCTAATTTCATAACCAATGGTCGAGATTAATTGTGACCACCTTGTATCATAGGTAAATGATCTCATTAATTAAATTACTAAAAATTATTCAAAAATGGATCAAACTGTTATTTTAACATACAAACATATAATTTTCTAAATATTGGATGATATTGTAGTTCCATTTGCAAAGTTAAAATCTAGGCAACTGCTTGTTGGGTTGTTTGTAGATGTTTGTGTCAATTTTTGTTTTGATGTATTGTGGAAAGATTAGAACATTTAGACAAAAGATTTCCCTTGCAGGAGCATACTGTCTATTTATTCCCACAGGTAAAACCTTATCTAAGAGTAACTATAGGTTATCTAAGACTCATATAGGAGCCAAAATCTAGGGATGTGACATCTTCAACTCGTATACTATTTTCAGTAATAAAAACTTCCAAATCACAAAAATAAAATCTTCCATTTTCTCAGGGTGAGAATTAAGTATTAAAAACTTAAAATTGAAATTTTTTATCTTAAAAACAATCATCTAATGATTATTGGGTATTTCATTTCATATTGACAAAATCCTTCCAAATAAGTCTACAATTTCGGTATGCTATTTTTACGTCGAAGTTGTGAAAACTTCTCATAGTTACCTAGAATAAAATGGGCCTTTTTAATTCAGTAGTAGAGTAATGCATATGATAGTTACCTAGAATAAAATGGGCCCCTTTTAATTCCATAGTAGAATAATGCATATGAGGAATACGCATCAGCTAACTCAGTGCCAACCGGGATAAGTCAAAGGATGCCACAATTAAATTCTTATAAAGTTGTCGAAAGGCGTTCAAGATGTATTTGGGGTTGCATCAACCCCAATCTTGTGAATTTCGTGAGGGAGGGAATGGATTTTTGACGAACAAAATGATCACAAATGTTAATATGTGGGTTTTCATGGTGGAGACTCAGGTTTGTATTTTTTTTCCAAACAATCCTTGTTGGCTATCAACTTGGGAATATTTGATTGCATCTTTGGGATAAAAATGTGTTTTCAAAAATATGTCCATGTAAATGGCGTGGTTACCTTGCATATTGTATGGTTTGTTATCAGATTTTGTTGTATTTCCAACCCTACAAACGTTTGATAAACATCTATAATTACAAATCCAAAACTAAGAACATAACAACAAAAGAAAATGAGAGTTTTATTTATTGGGAAGTGGATGAGAAATGATTTTATTTTTAATATTTTGAGATATAATTTTGAATTTTTTGTTTTGGGTATTGGAAGAGATATGATATTTTTAATTGTTTATCACTATTATATTTCAGAATGTAACACATATCAGACGGAGGGATTAAAATTCTCACCTTCTCCGACGAAAATAAACATCTTCATCTAAATCATTACCTAAGCACCCATCGGCCAAAAATATAATAGAAAAATTACTACCTTACCAACCACAACACAGGAATGATTTGGTATAACCCACTCTTATTGATCATTGCCAACCACAACGCCAATGATTTGATATAATGATTAATTCTATTATGACAAAATTCATTTAACGTTCTATTAGTTATGAAAGAGAATTGCATGAATACTTGTCCAATTGCAAAAGCCTACCACAATATTATTAGTATTTAGTGCTTGCATAAAAAAATAAAATCCTCATATTATTAGTATTTAGGGCTTGCCTAGTTCTACTGATGATGTTAGAGAAACCCTCTATTAATTCCTTAACCTAGTTCTACTGATGATGTTAGAGAAACCCTCTCTATTAATTCCTTAACCTTGGCAAAAAAATTGTATCCATTTGCTTCACCTTCACTATTTCTCACTTTATTTTCCCTCAGTTTCGCTTCACTTTCACTATTTCTCACCTTATTTTTCGCCCTCAGTTTCTTTATTTTTCTTATGGTTCTACATTGACCTTTTAAATCATCAATGTGTTTTTTTTATTAAATCATCAATGTGAGTTTTTTTTTTATTAGGCCTCGTTGTGTTTTTCGCTTCACCTTCACCATTTCTCACCTTATTTTCCGTCAGTTTCTTTGTTTTTCTTATGGTGCTACATTGACTTCTTAAATCATCAATGTGGGTTTTTTTATTAAATCATCAATGTGAGGTTTTTTTTAGGAAAAATATCTATGTAGAGCCAATTTTTAAATTTCATTTGTCTGTAGATCCAAACTTTCCAAACCTATCTTACAACATAGAGATTTCATCTTTTATATCTTCTAACCCCTTAAACTAAGTCTACTCATTTTTACCTTAACTTTTTAACCCAAACAAATTTAATAAAGACCT